AGTTGGAGTCTCACTCTGTCGCCCGGACTGGAATGCAGTGGCCACTCCCGGCCACCACAGCCTCAACTTGCTGGGCTCCGGCGATCCTTCTGCCTCAGCCTTCCAAGTAGCCGGAACTGCAGGCGCGCGCTACCACGCCCGGCTAATTTTTGATTTATTGTAGAGATGAGGTCTCGCCAAGTTGCCCAGGTGGGTCTCGAACCCGTGGGCTCAGGCAATCCACTCACCTCAGCTTCCCAAAGGCGCAGGATTACAGGCTGAGCCACCGAGCCCGGCTTGTCTTATACATTTTAAAAACCACTAAACCTGCTGCAGAATCCTTACAAATCTTGAGGCACTGCCACTAAAAAGAAACCTCCAAGGCCACAGCAGCCCTGCCTTGAGAGCCGACGCAGAGTACCTACACACAAGAATGGGGTCAGGATGCTGGCTTTGACTTAATGCTGGCAGGAAAGCTCGAGAACATGGAAATGTTAGCTAATGGGAAAACTACAGAGGAGAATCAATCTCTAGAGAGGATGCCAGCACTCTTGGAGTAAGCTGCAAACACATTTGGGGAGCAAATCAGTAAAATTCCACTGATTCACCATGGAGCCAGTTATATTTATCATTCTGCTTACCCGTAAATAGAAGGACATCTTATATATAGGCCAGCAGATCTTTTTTACAAGCACCTATCCAAATTTTAAAGCAGATGAGAATGGGTAAGAAAAAGGCCAAACAGACAAGAAAAACCCCTTTCCCTACTCTCTAGAGTTCTTACACACACACATGCATTTGGAAGCCAGCCCGATCTTGCTTCTGTAAAATCAGACCCTGGTTAAAACAGTCAAAACTGAGCGAAGGCATCCTTTCACAAACCAGCTTTAGCCCGACACTGAAATACAGACTGTGATTTGTTCTATAGTTCCCTCAGCCTCAGTCCAGCCCCATCTAGTGGAAAGAGAACCGTAAACTATGTGCAGCCCTGGAGTAAGACGTAAGACGCTGACATAGTTCTGGCAAAGGTTGACTGTTACTATGATTCAGTAACATGCCTGCCCCTTTTCAGCAAGGGTCTAAGTCTCCTCCTATTGGCTCCCTCCTGTATATGTGATACCCTCCCCTTTCAGACACCAAGGAACACAGTAAGAATTTTCCACATCAAACTTGCCCTTCCCACAGGGTTGATAAGGGTATTAAGGTGACCATGTGCAGGCAACAAAGGGGAGGCTCACAGGCCTGAAAGAGAACCGAGCAAATCCAAAGCTGGGAAAGATTCATAGGCCTTCTGAGACCTCTCTGCTTGGGGTCTTGCTCCAATGGTTTCTAGACACTGCCCAGTGACAACAGGTATTAAGTGAGGTCAGAAGCCTCCACCTGAGACCTGAACTTCCCAACCACCCTGACTGGGCCCAAGCAGAAGTAGGGGCATCTAGTTAATGCCTCCCTGTCCCTAAATTCACATTACCTGGGGACAAATGACTCAGGATGTAATTTCCCTTAGAAAACTGGTATTAATAAATTATAAATGTCTGAAATATCTTCCCTATCCCTAATAAGGGTGGCCTGACCCAAGTCCCATTCTGCTGGACAGACACAGAATATCAATCTTTAAAAAAAATTTAAAATGGTCCCCAGTTGTACATAAATGGCTCACCCAATTCTACTGCACCTCAGAGATTATGAGTTAAGTAAATTTCTGTGGACAAGCCTGGGAACATAACCATCAAGTTGTTCCAATAAGAAAATAAGGTCTCAGTTATACAACAATAGACTCACAAACAAATTTCTGGAACATAACCTGCTTCTAGAGTGGAGACTGACCTAACTAATATTTGAAATATAATGACTATATTTTAATTTTTGGCATAAACTGGTTAATACTCTTGACATAATAAACACCAGTTACCATTTCCAAAGTATACATTCTCTTACCTACTCCTTTCCTCCAGCCCACTGGGCACGTGTATGGTGGGGAGGGGGGTGTGGATGGGGCGGGGGCGTTGATTTGGGGAAGGAAGAGGGGATGGGAGAATGGTAGTGGTAATCACCTAACATGCTGGGAAGTAACTAGAATGGAGATGCCCAACTGTCAGCCCCAAGCCTAGCATGACTCCCTGCTGTGCTGGGCATCTTTACTCATACTCCCTTAGCTGGCACCTAGGTTAGTACTATGCAGTCAACTCCCTGATTAGACTCAAAACTCCTTGAAACCAGAAACCATGAATAATCACAAGATTTATCCTGAGACGTAGGGATACCACCAGAACACGACATTTCTCCCCATAAAATGTAAAAGCAACAAACACATGATATCAATAGCAAAATAGTAGAATGTGGGTTCTCAGAGGGCATCTAAGCTCCCTCCATTAGCCAACTAAAAAATTGGCTCTCACATAGAGTCAGGATGCAAATCAGTGCCACACCAAAAGTTCAAATATATGTCATGGTCTCCAGGGCTTTTCAAAAAAATTCAAAACTTTGAATGCTAAATACAAAACCTGAATACTAAATGCATAACCGACAAGACTACTTTCTTCTCAACAACTTCAAAAAAAAGTGAGCCTTCCCAGCACCTGGCACACCCTGGCACATAATTCACTTAATAAATGTTTCTAACAGCTTCTGCGGCTATATGCAATGCACATAAAGAATTTGTCAAATGAACAAAATGACTGCCACAGACATGGCTGGTGTTAGTGACTACAGGGGAACTGCCTGACGCCAGGAGAATATCCGACTAATCTTAAACTCCACATTGCAGACATCTGGATATGCCACCCAATTCCAAATCTCTATCCAGGTGAATCCAAACTATACTAGCCACTCATAGCCTCATTTTCCAAAAGTCACTGTAAAGACTAATCATGGATATTACAAAAATAAAAGGTAATATGATCAAATGAAATTAATAAATGAGGGATTTTATGAATGGGTGTTGCACAAATTTTGAGCCAATGTGTGTTGTGAATCTTTAGGAGGGATTAGTTCATGCAAAGTCCCAGATCTAATTGATCACACATACCCCACCTTTGTGTGTGTGTGTGTGTGTGTGTGTGTGTGTGTGTGTGTGTGTGTGTGTGTGTGAAGCCATCTCTATAGAACTAATGTTTCAGAGATTACACCTTTGAAAAAGTTACCTTAAACAAATAAATACCAAACACTGATTTATCCTAAAAAACAAGCTTAAAACATGAACTTCTCCCACTGCAGCTAGACACCACCTTTCTGTGTATATATATATAAAATATACATGTGTAATATAGAATGTTATCTCTCTTTTGCTAAGGAGTCTGAAAGTAAAAGAACCAGAAATAAAATCTTTAAATGTCAGTGAGCTAAGTGACTGCAACAAGTGCAAGTCTTTGGTGAGGCATATGCACTCTTGCAAGAAAACCAGAATGTAGGGCTAGTGTTTCTCAGTAGTTCTGGTTTAATCCCAGGTGGGTTCTTCCAGAACCTGAATTTATTCCACCCATAAAGAAAAACAGCAGCCCCTCCCCACACCCCCAGCATTACACATAGAGGCTTGCAAACAAAATGAGTTAATGTGGTAGTTCTCAAGTGATCCTTGGACAAGCAGCATTACCACTGCCAGGCACTTGTCAGAACCCTGGTCATGTCAGCCCTCAACAAAGTCAAATCCTCTACTTGGAAAAAGGCAGAAGGATGCACTTCTACTGGACACCTCTGCAAGTACCACATGAGTGAAGACCATTCAGTGCCTTCTATCCAAGAACCTTGCTAGTAATTCCTGGTCAGATTTTATATGTTCCTCTTTAAACAAAAAGGCAAAAGGATTCATAGCCCCGCTGTTGAAACCACACACTTTAGTGGTTTAAAAAAAAAGAGAAAGAAACATCCACACACACTCTCCATCTCTCATTGTGGAAGAAGCCTAGCCACTGTGCATTTCCTGTTGCCTAGCAACGCCTCAGGCACTCTTCAGAGGTGTTCTCAAAAAGCTGAACACTAGTACAAAACAAGGTGAAGCGATCAAAAGATGAAATTTGCAGCATGTGCAGCAGAAGGTTTAAATGCAGTAAGAAAGCTTCGATGTGAGACGTGACTCTCTCTAGCAGGCCATCACACGCACGATACCTGCACAAGACCCCTAGATCCACGTGACTACAAGCAGCATTCTATCCACAGAGAACATCTGCAGAGATTATCTCACTTTGTCCCTGTGAAAATGTGGAAGGGAAAAAGACTGCCTGAGTTCAGTGCCCCAAAATGCCAGAATCAGAGAAGCTAATGCAGGCCATACAGAGCTGTTGAATACCAGAAGAAGAATTCAGTTTCCAATTCCTGAACATGTCCCCACTGTTTGAAAATCTGCTTCCCACTTTCTATAACACCTACTTCTGGGAAATCCAACAGTGTGAGAAAAAATCATGGATATAAAGAACTCATTAGGGCTTAAAGGAGCTTCAAACCAATTCAACAAATTGTCCTACAAGAACTTCTACAAAAATAATTATTACTACAGAATCAAATCCTTGACACATCTTTCAGAAGTTGCTGAAAACAATGGGGAAAAATTTCAATATAGAAAACTATCATCGTTAGTAGAAGTAGGTAAAATCATTTTTCTCTTGTGGATTAGACTTTGATTATGAACATTAGACAAAAGAAGCACATTTTCCCTGTTAAGTGCAACCTACATATTTACAATGGATGCACTGAATATGTGGGCAACATTGTTCATTAAGGTATTTTAAAGGCAAAAGTTAAATGCCAGGGGCAAACAGTGCTCAGACTGACCAGAGAAGTTTCTCACAATCAGGAGTTTATATGCCTATTGCTCCTAGGATGGCCTGTTTTTGTACTCTGATTATAATCTGTTAAGGGCCAGCATACTGCATCCCACTTTGCAATACAACATTGCTAAGGTATGTACTCAAATGACACCTAGCACAATGGGGATCTGACTGTAAAAGTTTATGAATATTAATTGAACAGTAGTCTTTACTGTGCCTATCAAGAACATTTTTCCAGCCCTTCATGAAGAAACTTACCCTCCTCTACTGTGCCGCTGACTGTGGGTGGAGATCTTATATGGAAGTGCACGTTCACCCAGGTTTTCCAAGTCTCTCACTATTGCGCCTCTGTCCATAAGTGCTTCTATTGTACGTTTCAGGGCGGCAGCAGTCTCTGGCTGTTTTTTGTTTTTGTTTTTTTAAAAAAAGAAAGAAAAACCATCAGAATCAATATAAGAACTAGAGTGATTAAGTCTGGTCAGTTCCAATCAATAACAGCTCTACTGATAGGGATCTTTGGATAAAAACAACAGAAACTATTTTTGACTAAGTTGAAATGAGAGAGAGAGACATTTATTGTAAGGATATGCAATAGCTCACAGATATGAAGAAAAATCTGAAGGACCAGGTTTCGGAGAGTTCAAGGACCAGGGCAGCTCCATGAATCTGGGAGGCAGGAACTAATGAGTGGCTTCTTCAGAGCACCTCGGCCAGGCTGAATCAGTGCCAGTCACTATCAGTCCTTGTATCCCATGACTCAAAATTCAAATTCCAGAAGTGCATCCTCTTGACAGGACATCTGAACTGCCCATCCCACCAAAACCACAGCTAGTGGGAAAAGGGGTTATCTCTCAAAGAAAAACAGGGAGATTGTAACCAAAAGGGGGAAAGGATGAGTGAGACCCAATCTCTGCCCTCATGGAGCTTACAATCTAATAAAAAACATAACACAAAAACATACATTTGCAGACCAGAGGGCAGAACACAGATGTGGCACAGGGACCAGAGAGCTCATAGAAGGAAGAAGCACCTTCAGCTGGGAGAAGGGTTTCACTAAGAAAAGCTTACTTGAAATGATGATCAGAGATGCAAAGAATCAATGAACAAGGTTGAACAAAGGAGTAAGGGCAAGAAAGCATGAGTGCACTGAGAAAACAGCGAGGAGTCCCAGGAGATGAGGTTCAGGGCAAGAGGGAACTGAAAAGACATACTGCAGGCTGGGCACAAGTCTATAATAATATAGGCCTGTTATAAAAGGCAAAATTCAAACAATACAGAATCCCATCATCTAGAGATAAAAGACTTCTAACATTCCAGTCAACTTATTTCCAGCTCTCTCTCTCTCTCTCTCTCTGCATATGTATACACAAAACACTTTTGGAAGAAAAGATACCCTACAAGAGTAAACCTGAAAAATTCAACAAAAGCAATGTGAAGAATGCGCATGAGTGGAGGAGGGCTTCAGAGCCTAGTGGCTAGGAGAAAGGTAGTGCTACCATCAGCTAAAAGGACAGCTGGAGAAGCTGGTGGGGACAAGAGATGAATGTGGTTTAGGACATGCGGAGTCTGAGAAGCCCACGACTTCCCTAAGTTGATCTCTCAAGGTTTAGACTGTAAACTCAAAACAAGTGGGTTAAAAATATACATATTTTCAGTCATCTACACAGAAGGCTACCTGAAACCCAAGAAGGAAGTGAGATCATTGAGAGGGTGGAGGAGGGAGAGGAAAAAAGATCAAAAACAGAATCCTGGGGAGTACAAACACTTGGGTGCTAACAAGTGAACTCAAAGTCAGAAGCAAATAGAAAACATTAAGTCCAACCAGACAAGGAAAATCAGCAGACTGCCTTGTCAAAGAAACTAAGAAAAGAGGCAGCCTCCAAAATGACAATGGGGTAGAGTATGCAGATAAATAAAAAGCCAGTGTGGTGGCTGCACGGGCACTTAGCAAGATGGGGCCAGAATGCAGCCTGCAAAGGTTTCCACAGTAGAGATGTGAGAACAGTGGTGAAAATGAGAAAATGCCAGAGGCAGAGAGACAAGCAAGTTTGAGCAAAGTGTGTTAGGATAGAAAATACACGAGCAAGTTAGTAAAGGGCAGTGGGCCAATCAAGAGGAGAAAATACAGGATTTTAAAAATAACAAGGATGACAATTATGCTTTACTGTTTAATGGCTATATGCCCAAAACCGTCTAGTGTTTTACTGTTACATATTTAGTCTTCGCCAATAAAAAAAGAATCAAGAAGGTTTACAGATTGGGATGGGGCCTCTGTGAGAGGCCATGACAGGGAAGCTAGTAAGTGGAAGAGCCTGCTGTAAAGAAAAGGAAAGCTGCCAAAACACAGTTGAGAAGGAGGCCATAGGCACACCTTGGCAGAGACAAGGGCATTACTCCTCAAAGGCCTAAGTACAGAGACACAAGCAAGGAGATTTTAAAGTGCCAGAGGAAGCTCAAGAAAGGACTACCTTCCAGTGGCTCACGTGGGAATCAAATGGAAATAAAACTGCATAACAAGTGTAAGTGTGCCTTCCGGTAACCACACAAAATCCGCTATATTTTATAAATTTTATTTCTGACAAATGCTGCTAAAATGGTATGAATGTACTATTAGCTTGAGGCTTAGAAAGAAACTTTTTACTCTCATTTCATATTGTAGCCCACTAGGGATGTTAAAAATTCCTACTGCATAATTGTCTTTTATATATTTAAGCAACCTTAAGACAAAACAAATTTCCTGAAGACAATAAAAATAGGAGCCCAAATTGCTTTCCATTAACACTAACTGGGTAAAAAGTCTATGGCAGTTTCTCCTTATGATATTCTTATACAGTTCTAATCACAAGAAGACCAAATTTTTCTCACATTGTATTAGCTCGCAAAGGCATTTCCATATATCTGCAGAAGTCACATTATTAACGGCAGGATAATATTTCATTACATTAAAAATGCTGTCTCTCTTGACCTGGCATTGCATCAGTGAACTTACAATAAGCAGGTGAAGAATCTACCCAAATAAAAAATGGGATCTCAGTTCTGTTACCTTGAACAAAAAAAAGGAGTAACGTTTAAAATTTTTTTTAAAATAATGACTGATTACAATCTTCTGATTAGCTACCCAAATAAATTTTAATTTCAGTCTTACCTGACTAAAAAGGAATATTATCTCAGTATCTTTTGTTTAAATTTCAACTGAAGTGTTGGAAACATAGTAAGCTCTCTGAAGTAAGCTTATGAAATAAAAGATTTTCTTCTTACATATGTTCCAAAAAAAGGAAGAGTTACTTAACAAGGATGTAACTTAGAAAACTATCAGCCGGGCTCGGTGGCTCAGCCTGTAATCCCGCGCCTTAGGAGGCTGAGGTGAGTGGATTGCCTGAGCCCGTGGGTTCGAGACCCGCCTGGGTAACTTGGCGAGACCTCATCTCTACAATAAATCAAAAAATTAGGCAGGTGTGTTAGCGCACGCCTGTAGTTCCAGCTACTTGGAAGGCTGAGGCGGAAGGATCGCCGGAGTCCAGCAGGTCATGGCTGCGGTGGCCAGGAGCGGCCACTGCACTCTAGTCTGGGCGACAGAGTGAGACTCCGACTCAAAAAGAAGAAGAAAACTATCAAAACACATTTTATTTGACTTTGTTATGTCAAGGTCAAATTGTAGACTGCTTAAGTGTTCACATTCATTTTACTATCATTTCAAATTTAGAAGTTTTAAAAGAAAGATGGAAGGAGGAGCAAAAATACTTCTTATTTAATAGGGTTGCTCAGCACGTGCCATATACCTTACTTCACAATATAGCAAGGTCAGCAAACCAAGGTCCTTGAGCCAAATCTAGCTTGCTACCCTTTTTTGCAAATAAAGTTTTATTATAACACAGCCAGTTCATATATCTGCATAGTGTCTATGACTGCTTTTGTGCTAAAAGTAGATCTGTAATTACAACAGCGACTATCAGCAGAGACTATATGGTTTCAAAGCCTAAACTATTTACTATCTGGCCAATCCCTGTTCTACATTGTGATGGGTTGAGGGAAGCTGGCAGGGCCTGAAACCATGAGCCTGGCCTACTGACTGAGACACAGAAGGTGAATTCCCCATCGGGTCATCAAGTGAACAAACAGGGAACACCTAATGAACACCATCAGCCTAGCCGTTCAACTCAACACAGGGTTCAAAATTCCTAATCTCTTTATCGACCCAGGTTGCCAACTTCAACATTCTTCATTTGGTCAAACCTATAGATCTATTAAAATAAAATTCTTAGGCTTGAGGGGGTTCTGCTCAATTCAGGACAATGTTCAATTTGTAAAAGCTTATGGCTTATAAAAAGTAAATAATCTTGCCACCATAATTCTTATTTACATAATCTCAGAATCACTTAATTCCAGTAGAAGTTGTACATGCTTCTTATAGGCTTCTGCCATCCCATCTGAAAGCAACTCTCCAAGACTTTTCTCCAGCCTAGCAAATACATCAATGAAACACAATTTTGGTAAGGCACTGATTGAGGGGTTGAAAATGTTCATTTTTTTAAAAACATGGAAAAGAAACAATGAATGTGAATGGGAACTAGGAAAACAGGGTTCTAGTCCTAGTTCATTCACTAATGAGTAATACACCCATAGATAAACTGTTAAAATTTATCAATTTTAAACTCGTGTCTCAGTTCCCTCATCTACTAACTTAGTGATTCTCAATTTTCCTGTTTCCACGAGCTTCACATAAGCAACACTGCAATTCTCAACATCTCCTGGAGGCATACAAAGTTTGATGACAGATTCTCTCTCTATGCCTCCATTCTGATATCCCCACCCAAAAGCGCCCATCTCAGATACTTCTAATGTCATTCTTTGTTCTAACAGCACTATGGCTACCTATAAATGTTCTTTCACTAACTAGCATAATAAGCTTCAGGAGAGCAAGGACCTTTGTCTATTTTGTACACAACTGTCTTCTCAAAGTCTAAAACGTCCACATCTGGAATAAGTGCTAGAAATATTTAAATGAATTAATGTATCAACTGTGCCTCCATAAGAAGGTCTCTTGCTTCTTTACTCCTATCTTTTCCCAAGGACCCTAAGGTTTCCTCCTGTCTCTAATACAATTTGAAGTAACTTTTCATATTACAACAAAGCTCACTGCTAGGCTAATGACTGTTAATAAGGAAACAAAATTACAATACTAGCATTATTCTATTTACTTCATGTAGAACCAAAATGCTGTCCATACCAATATTGTTTTTCAAAAAGATCCAGAATTAATCTAGAAGTAAAACTAAATACTAAATAGTTCATACATTTCAAACATCAAGTTCAAATATACACTCAAATATAAATATTAAAATTACATTGTCACAATTATTTGCTGGTAAGATAAAGTGCTATCCAAAAAATTAAATAT